AAAAGAAAAACTTATAATGAACCTAAAAAAATATGTGTTATTTCAACATTTTCTTGTATGTTCATTTTGTTGTAAGGAAGGTGATATATATATTCTTGCTTAAATGTCCTGTATTTTATAATTAAGGATGTAACATCCTTGCGAAAGTTGTATATAAAGTCAGTTCTTATGAAAAACATATACTTAAGAAGTTGACATTATTAAACACATTATATGATATTTCTTGAGGAAAAAAGGTTGTGAATTTTTTATTGGAATGTAAAACTGATTTTTTTTACCAAAAACAGATTTCTAATTATCTCCTTTTTTATCGGAAATTTTAAATTTTGGCAATATCCTTATCAAAAAGGTTTTCTGTAACTTTTAACATTGTTAATTCTTTATTTAAGCCAAAGATGTTTCATATAAGAACATAAAATTTTGAGTCACAGGATCTTTAAGTGTATGTTACATCTTTAATTTATCACACACCCGTGCCGATTTGCGACTCCGTAAATATGGTCAATCACCTACGCAGTGATCTCCCCTTGTAAACAGGATTAGATAAAGTAGCAAAGCGTGACGTAACCGCTGTGAGGAGTGTGAAATAATTATGGTATTGCACGGCCGTGCATATATTTTGACGTGACGTCATTAGCGTTATACAAACATAGTGTAAAGACTAAATGTTAGCGTTATACTATAGGTGCGTCAATGAAAAATGACTCTTTTTTCACTTTAAACGGTCTTTATTTTTTGTATGTGATAAATAGAATATTAAATTCGTGTAACTTCATTACTGAATTTATTGCACTCGTTGAATAAAATAATAAAATGCTCGCCAGAGCCTCGCATAATGCAATTTTATTCAACTCGTGCAATAAATTTAGTATTGAACTCACACTCATTCAATATATACAGGAAATTTAAGTCCCATCAACCAATTGTGTTGTATTTTGCAAATATTTTACTCAAAGTTTTAGAAATGAGGATTTATTATATTTCCACAGAACCGAACAGACCTTCATCTATTGCTTATAAGCAATTCGTCATAAGGTATGAAAATAGGGACTTCTGTTTGCTCAAACATTTGGAACGAAAATTTTGGAATTTAAAGGTTCAGTGATCGATAACATGTGAGATATCCATGAAAACTGGAGTAACCAAAAAGTCCGCCTGCTCATGCGTTCATTTGCAATCTGATGAAACCACATGAAAAGTTCGGCTCATGCGTTCATTTTGAAAATTCGCTTAAACGATATTATACTCCAAAAATACGGAATAGAAAAAGAACAGGCTTTTGGTGGATGAGGATATGTTAATAAAGAACCTTTAGAGCGATACAAATGTTTAGAAGTTTGCTTGGATGTCAAGTTATTGGCTATCAAAGAGCGATTTTACCAATTTTGTGACTTTTCTTGTGCAGTTGTCGATAATGATCTAATAAGTTAACAAAGATTTGGCTAGTTTGAGATGCCTGTCGGATAAAGTAATCATACGAGATCAGAATAGGCTATAAAGTTTTGTGAAATATGCATTTTCAAAGAAATTGAAGACAATTTTCTTACCACAGTATCGGTTTTCCACCTGTAAAATTGATCTCTTCATGCGTTCTCCGCCTGGGAAACATAGTGAACGATTGGACTCGGTGATAGTGGACAAACAGTCTGAAACAATTCTTTATGTTTCTTCAGCAATTCCTCTTAGTATGACCTTAGCAAACAAACTACAAAATATTTTTACAAAACCATTCTATGTTTACTTTTATCAAAAACACAATAACCTACTCATACCAATTAGACATCAGTAGGTACCACCAGGACAGTTATTATTTAGCGTTGACTCTCACTGTTGTATATTGATGTATATTCTTTTTATTTTTGTAAACTCATATATTTGTTATATGTCTAAAAACTTTCATATCTTACTTCGTTCAAACTTTGGGGTCAAAGTTCTCGAAGCCGAGGGGAATTATAAGGAACCCCAAATATGAGTTATATTTTTATATTACATAATGCATATTATTGTACATTTTTGTATCTATATTTTACTTGTTTGTATTTTCAAATTTAAACCTTAAAATAACATGTATTTTTACAGTAATAACTTCTTCAAACTTTGGGATAGAAACCATCATTCTTAACATGTCAAACATACTTAAGATATTGTTAAATCAACACATTTTGCTTAAGCCTAGGAAGCACTTTAGGTCTTTTTAACACTTCTCTTTGTTTAACAGATGGACTGTTTTTTATAGAGTAAATACAAACAAATGCAGAATAATAGTTGAGTAAAATATCACAGCTTTGTTTCCTTCTTAGTTTTTGACATTTATAACTTCAAAGTGAAAACCCATTAATAAATTAATTCTACTTTTCAAACAATTCCAAAACATACCTATAAAATAGACAGTTTAAAGTTAGACAGTCATAATTTCTTGGACTGTCAATAAAGGATATATTTTGACTTATACTGTCTATGTGTATTTCTACAGGTATGTTAAACTTCATTTTATATTTTAACTCTTTTTCTAAAATCAATAGGAAATGAAATTTTGTAAACTTACTTTAGTCTCTGACTTGTTTAAATGTAACTTTGTTTTACTTACAACGTATTTTTCATAGTTGACTTATATTTTTGGAACACATGAATATGTTGAACATTGATTTTTGTAATGCAAATTAAGTATTTTATTATATACATTTTGTTGACATGGTACCTGTTACCTATTTTAATTATCAAAATGTTCTCATAATGCTAAGTGAGTAATTATTTCCCCAACTTAATTTTAATAAATAATTGTTATCATATTGAAATAAATTGTCTAAGAATTTTATATATTGATACACATGTATTGAGAATTCTTAATTAAGAACATGTCTTATTATACATTGTATTTGTAAATATAATTTCTTGGACTGTCAATAAAGGATATATTTTGACTTATACTGTCTATGTGTATTTCTACAGGCTATAAACAAAATAACAATCCTTCCCCCCCCCGCAAGCAGTTCGTTAAAGATCGCTAAAGACACCTCGTTAAACTATTAAGTTAGAAGGCTGTGTGTCAAATGAAACTCTAATCACAACTCATCAGATCATCTGCGCAAAATAGTTTAACTCGAGGCAAAATTATAGTATTATATATTAGATTCTTTTAATGAAAAACATGAATTAAAGAGGCATTTGCAGTAAAATAACAAATATTCAACAGCATAAAAACAAGCTAAGCGTAACTGAACCATTTAACTCAAAGCATTCATAATCTACAGAGCAATAATCAATTTGAGCAAATTAATCAACAGGAGCCAACCAGTACTTACAATGTTAAGTTTCTTGCTTAATCAAAGCATTGATGGCGGCAAGTGGGTTCAAACCCTGGCAGAGGCAAGCTGTTGTTTCCTTAATACTAGTCTGACAAGTTAACCACACAGTCAGCCACCTCTAAAATCAACCATAAGCAGGGAAACAGCAATACATCCTCTTATACTTAACCAATAAGCTAGGAAACAGCAATTCAGTCAGTAACTCTCAGCCAATGAGAAGGAAAACAGCTTTTCACCCACTTAGTTTCAACCAATAAGCAGGGAAACAGTAATGCATCCGCTGACACTCAACCAATATGCAGGGAAAAAGCAATTTATCTGCTATCATTCAACCAATGAGCTAGGAAACAGCAATCCAGTCAGTTATATAAACTCAACCAATCAAGAGAAAAACGACAATTTCATCACTTCCACTGCAATTTCTCCTCAATCTCCTTGACAGAATCTCCCAATAATGAATACAAAATAAGAGCATACCAATGCAATATTAATATTGGTCTCTCAAAATTTTACTTCTTCTTCATTATATTCCAGTCTGTCAGAAATCTTGCGCACAATCCCTGTTTTAACAAAATCTGACAACAATGCCAGAACAACAGACTGCTTTTTCAATAGTTCTCTTGGGACAATCCATTTAAATCACTATGTATAATCATTCTTTATTTTTACCAGTAACTTTTACCTTTTATGCAAACTAAGCAATTGTGAATACAATTTTTTTTAAACTCATTTAAATTGAATTTGTATCATAGTTTGGGGACCTTTCTGTTGAAAATGTGTCACAGTTAAATCGTATACATATACATGCACAGTGCCTTAACTGGAGTGCAGGTATTAGTTACCCGCACTCCAGAGCATACCCATTGATTGGCTCATTTTTGCTGGGGTTTACATATTGTGACGGCAGAGAAAGAGAAAGCAACAGAAATATCATATTCAGATGTTCGTTCATTGGTTCCTTTTTGCCGGGGTTTCATATTGTACGTGACAACAGGGAACGTCTTTTTATATTTGACTATGATACAAAAGAGAAAGAACATCAAAACACTCGGCAATCTGATTAATACTCGGGGGCTATGCCCCCTTGTACAAATCAGATAGCCTCGTGTTTTCGATGCTCTTTCTATTACATAACCTACATGTAGCCTGATTATCATTTAATAAACTTGAATAATCTAACAAATTATGTTCCTCATTAGAGCTCAAAACCCTCTGTTGTCACTCATATACTTATTTTCAAATCTGGATCAAAAGCAATAACAAATTTGATTGGTCCATTCATACCACAAATTACTTTCTGAATCCTGTACAGTGTATTCTTTTACAATGATATATACTTACATGCCCATGGCAAAGCAGCATATTAACTGTTTTGATCTTGCCTGGATAATTCGATTCATAACCCTGTGGCAGAAGGACTCTGATTGGTCAATTCAATGTGGAGGTCTATAAAAGAAGCACACTGATTGGTCAGTTCAGAACAAAAACTTGCCGAGATAGAAACTCTCTGATTGGTTAATTAAAATCATACCTACCTACAACAACTTGATGATTGGCCAATTTAATTTCAAATCTGTACCTACCCTTATGCCAGTAACTGAAGCTCTCTGATTGATCAATTTAAAACATAGCCAACCTTTGTAACTTAAGCCTTTGATTGAAGCTCTCTGATTGGTCAATACATAATCTACTTACATGAGCCTGAGACAGAAGCTCTTTCATGATATACTGGTCATATATCTCTTTGCCTTTTGTTATTCTTTCTTCATCTGTCTCTAAATTTTCAAATTTTTTAATCTGTAAGAAAAGAAAAAGGGAATATATATATCTTAAACAAACACAAACTGTATAAGGCTAACGATTTTAAAATTCACAAGAACCATTCTATTTTTTTTCTTAACAAGCACAACTTTTTATCTAAGAGAAAATAGTTCATAATCAACATGTTCTTAATGCCATTTGTTAATTTAACTTGTATATCTTTTAGCTATGTCAAGATACCTGATTTTATTTTACTATTTATTTTACCAATATCTATATAGAAGCAAAACTCCTGAGATGAAAAAAAAATTTTTTTTTGCATAATTGCCATCTATTTATATAGTGTACAATATCTCAACAAAATCAAAGGAAGAAACCAAAATATTGATTAATTTCATAAAGTCTTTTTTTTTTAAAATTGCATTTCATAGATACATTCTCTAGTTCATTTCAAAACTGATTATATTCTGTAGATCTACTAATTATAGACTAACGGACATTATGTTTACTATGGTAGCATCAATATTTTGACCGCGATATAATGGCTGTCGTCAATAACTCAATAATACATCATCACATATATGATCCACTTAATCATAATTCACTGACAACATTTTATCAGCGAATTTCTTTGCCTTGAAGATTGCCGTCTGAATTTTTCAGGCCGCTCACCTACTTTGCTAGGAAATCTGCCGATAATGAAAAGAAAACCCCATATTCTCCCTTCCAGCTGTATACAATAACGACTATGGATTCCGAAAGCTATTCTAGCCTAGATCTCAATCACTATTAAGCTTCATTAATAATTCATCAAGTTCTGCCGTATCTTTCATTAACCTTGCTTATCTTATTCGTACCAGTATCAGCACCAGGCCAAAGACAATAGCACAACATGTTGTATGAAATAATTTTTTATGTTAAAGCCAACATTCTGGAGGCAAATTATAATTTACAGTCTGTGTCTACTGTATAATAACATAGAATTTGAATAAATTGCTATGAAAAGTGAAAAAATGTGATAAATGTGAATTGAAACTGCATGATTTATTTATAATTCAACAGCTTTATCCTTGAAAAAAGGAGCCCTGGGTTTAACATTTCAAAAAGGTAAAAATAAGAGGTGAACAGCTTATTCCTTGAAAAAGTGGTATAACCTTTTAAAAAGGTAAACAGCTCTCTCCTTGAAAAGAGGGTATTAACCTCTCAAAAAAGGTTAACAGCTTGCTCCTTGAAAAAAACAAGGGTTTAACCCCTCAAAAATGGTAAAAATAGTGGTTTAACCTCTCAAAAAAGTCAGCGCCATAGCATGAGGGAGGTTTAACCTCACAAAAAGGTAAACAGTTCCCTCCTTTAAAAGAGGGGTTTAACCTCTCAAAAAAGTCAAAGAGGTAAGTGTTTGTGCAGTAGACAGTAAATCTTAAACCAGTTAGTGAAATAGTGGAATCTTAAAACAGTTAGAGAAATTTTGAGAGTGGTCATTGTTAAAACATTTTCGATGATTATGACATCTAAAATGGTTTAGCATACAAGTCATATAAGGTAGCTGGCAGTATTTATAATAATTCTACAGTTGGCTTGTTGCACTTGTAACAAATAAGTAAAATAAATCTGAATCACTGTCAAAAACGTTTTTGTGCGTAATTTTTTTTCTTTTCTTTTTTTTTTAAATAGAAGAAAAAAATATACTTGTGTATTTCAATGAATTATAAATAGGAATTATATTAACAGCAACACTTTAATTGATTCTTTAATGTCTACTGTACATAAAATTATAATCCTTTATATCAACTTTTTTTTTCATATTTCAATTTCTCATTTCTATTTTCCTTATCTATTTTTTTTTCTTACTTTCAGTTGATATTTTATCAAAAACCTTACATCTAAAATAGCATATTTCATACAAATACAAGCATTTCATGCCCGTATTATCTCTTCTTTTTTTTTTAATCTTACATTTTTATCGAATTCTCTACAAGCAAAATTTAAAATTAAACCAAATCGGCAACCTCTTTCTGAATAAATCAAAATGAAATACAGAAAGAGAATCTCGAACAACGAGAGAAAATTAGATTTTTTTTCCCCTGTTTTTTTCTGTCTTATCAAATCTCTCATCCTTTCATATCAAAGTACATCCTTACACATACCAAGCCAGTTTTTATTTCATTGTTTTTTTCCTGGTGGAGTTAAAATTGGAACCCCATGTCTAGACAATGCCATGCATAAGATGTAGTAAAATCCTTTATGTTAGATACTGTACAACTGCAAAACAAGGGCTTTAAGTATGGCTGTTAACTGTTTCATGATACAAATGAAGCAATATAATCTTGTTTTTAATTTCCTTTCTTGATCATGGTGACATGCCGGCTATTAAAACCGTTGTAACGAGGTGTTAACAAGAACATTGCCTAATAAAAGTCAGTAACCTGGAATGCACTATATTGTGCTATTTTGTATCATTAGTTTTGGGAGACCTTTTCATTGAAAATGTGTCAGAGTTAAAAGTATACGGTACCATACATGCACAGTGTGTTAACTTGAGTCTGCATTCCAGTTACAAAGCACAGGCGCTTGGCACATTTGCCATGCTCAATATTGTACATAGAGTCCACATAACTACATGTGCCATAATTATCTTTTATACAATCCCTCACTCTATCTATTCAACAGTTAAATCAGATGTAATTAATTGGTGTAGTTATAAACAACTTACCTCATCATAAAATTTCAATTGAGGGACTGGTTCATCACATTGTTCTTCACAAAATTGCTTGAATAACAAATATCCTGAAATATACAAATATTTTAATTGATAAGATAAAATTTATACCAGATATAAATGATATGCTTGAAAAACAATGTGGAAAAGAAAAACAAGATGGCACTGATGCCCTTGGATCACTCAATATCCTGAAAAACAAAAGCAATAGGTGCTGAGGGCTTTGTAATCCTAAATATCCTGAAAAAAAAATATCTGAGGGTCTATTATCAATAAACATCGTAAAAAACAGAATAAGAAGACCAAGAGGACCTTGGATCACTTAATATCCTGATAAATTAAATACAACAAGAGGGTACCTGTCAGGGCCTTGGGTCACTTTATATTTTGAGTAATGCAGCAACAGGGCACCTGATCCATAATAGTAATGAAACAAGAGGGCACCTGAGGGCAACATCCTGATCAATAAAACAAGAGGGCACCTGAGGGCCTTGGGTCACTTTATATTTAGAGTAATACAACAAGAGGGCACCTGAGGGCCTTGGGTCACTTTATATTCTGAGTAATGAAACAAGACGGCAAATCTGATGGCAACATCCTGATCAATAGAACAAGAGGGCACCTGGGGGGCCTAAGTCAATTTATATTTTGTGTAATGCAACAAGAGGGCACCTGAGGGCCTTGGGTAACTTTACATTTTGTGTAATGCAACAAGAAGGCATCTGGGGGCCTAAATCACTTTATATTTTGTGTAATGCAACAAGAGGGCACCTGAGGGCCTTGGGTCACTTTTTATTTTGTATTATGCAACAAGAGGGCACCTGAGGGTCTTAGGTCACTTTATATTTGTGTAATGCAACAAGAGGGCACCTGGGGGCCTAGGTCACTTTATATTTTGTGTAATGCAACAAGAGGGCACCTGAGGGCCTTGGGTGTGTAATGCAACAAGAGGGCACCGGAGGGCCTTGGGTCACTTTATATTTTGTGTAATGCAACAAGAGGGCACCTGAGGGCAACATTCTGATCGATAAAATGGAGGATACCTCGGACGTCCCTGAGTCACTTTATATTTTGTGTATTGCCACAAGAGGGCACCTGAGGGCCTTGGGTCACTTTATATTTTATGTAATGCAACAAGAGGGCACCTGAGGGCCTTGGGTCACTTTTTATTTTGTATAATGCAACAAGAGGGCACCTGAGGGTCTTAGGTCACTTTATATTTGTGTAATGCAACAAGAGGGCACCTGGGGGCCTAGGTCACTTTATATTTTGTGTAATGCAACAAGAGGGCACCTGAGGGCCTTGGGTGTGTAATGCAACAAGAGGGCACCGGAGGGCCTTGGGTCACTTTATATTTTGTGTAATGCAACAAGAGGGCACCTGAGGGCAACATTCTGATCAATAAAATGGAGGATACCTCGGACGTCCCTGAGTCACTTTATATTTTGTGTAATGCAACAAGAGGGCACCTGAGGGCCTTGGGTCACTTTATATTTTGTGTAATGCAACAAGAGGGCACCTGAGGGCCTTGGGTAACTTTATATTTTGTGTAATGCAACAAGAGGGCACCTGAGGGCAACATCCTAATCATATAAAACAAAACGTCCAGAGGGCCTTTATCAGAAAACATCCTGAAAAACACAAGAGATGCTGGTATCATTAATAATATGGTAACAAAACAAGAGGGTCCTGAAAGCCTTAGATTTCTCATATTTGAAACCATAGACACCAGACGGGTTTTTCTTTCTTAAATGCTTTAGTGATCTTTTATTCTGGTCCCATGGTATTACTATATTGTTACTGAACAATCTTAAGAAATGTCTGAACTAACAGTTGCTACAATGTTATTACATGTACTAAGTTTTAAGAGGACCCGTCCATTGAAAGATCCACATTATTAAGGAGGGAGAAGGGGGAAAATTAACAATTATCTGGTATATCTACATGTATGTATTCACAGCTCTAACAGCCCTTATAATGGCTCAACTAAAGTAACATTCCAAAAACCTGATCAAAAACCGGATCAAAACCTGCTAGTTTCTAATTATACCGGTATCTGCAAGGAAAACCAAAGTTTTTTATTCATTAGAATAATTATGCCTACTTTACTTGTAAGGTCATATTCAATGTCATCTCCACCTCTCAATAATGAAATTTTACCTCTATTACTTCTACAATCAAATGTGTCTCACAGTGAAGTGCCGACACATTTCAACAAAATCAATATCAAACATTTCTCCTAGAGAATTTTGTCTTCCCTGGAAATCAAATTAAAGCGGAGTTCTACAGAAGATACCTTTGACAGTTTGATGAAAATTCTAATCATAGATTTCAAAAGAATTTGTTTGAAAATTAAGCGAATTCTATGTCTTTCATGATGTTTATAGCTACATATTACATTACATTACATTACATTAAATAAAGTTTATACCTTTCTTTGAACATTGCATAGTACATTAAATTAATCAAAATTTATACCTCTCTATTAACATTATATATTACATTACATTAAATAAAGTTTATACATCTCTATTAACATTATTTATTACATTACATTAAATAAAGTTTAAACCTCTCTTTTAATATTATATTATTACATTACATTAAATTAAATTAAGTTTACACCTTTATATTAACATTACATACTATATTACATTAAATAAAGTTTTACACCTTTATATTAACATTACATTTTACATTAAATAAAGTTTTACACCTTTATATTTACATTACATATTACATTAAATAAAGTTTTACACCTTTATATTAACATTACATTTTACATTAAATAAAGTTTTACACCTTTATATTAACATTACATTTTACATTAAATAAAGTTTTACACCTTTATATTTACATTACATATTACATTAAATAAAGTTTTACACCTTTCTATTTACATTATATATTACATCACATAAAGGTTACACCTTTCAATTAACATTACATATTACATTAAATAAAGTTTACATTTTTCTATTAACATTGCATTTTAACAGTTTTCTATTGAACGTAACACGAAATAAAGCTAAGAGTTTTCTATTGCACATAACACGAAATAAAGTTTACAGTTTTCTATTTAATATTTTATTAAACCAAAACAAGACATTAATCAAACTATACAGCTTTCAGCATTACATGTACATTACATGCATTAAAATAAAGTAAACAGTTTTCTATTTAACATTTACTATAATTATAACATTTTATAAAGGAAGAAGTATATTATCTGTCTTAATGGTTTACATCTGTTAAAGATCAGGTCGGTCAAGCACTTTTCACAGTTACATTATAAACATCATAATAGTTTATTGTTTTGTTATATGAAACTAACACTTCTCGCTTGTGTTTTAAAAACTAGAGTGTCAATGTCAAGGCAATAATGAGACTTTCCAGTTTTACTGAGAATGAAAACTGTAAAGAAAAACAACAACATTAAATTTGAAAGGTTTGCAGACTCAGTTTAATTGAGCCTGTTCATTGACACCATATGGGGGTTAAACCATGCAATTGTCCTGTGCCCAGTGCCCCTACCCCTACACTTGTTTATATGCAGAAATTATTCAACTTTTATGTACGATAATGGTTAAGTTATAAAAGGGCCTCCACTCAGATTTTTAACCATAATGTGACTGGCAAACATTTTTCCGAGATTTGTGTGCCAACTGATGAAGATCTGGACCAATAACTTGTGTGCAAATTTTTAGGTCATTCCCACACCCTTCCAGAATAATCATTTTTACTGTGCAAAACGACCCCAAAATTAAAAGCAACAGTTACTCTTTTCACTCAAATACGGCTAAGAATCACACTAAAATTGATTTGAATTACATTTTGAGTATATTTCTATGTTATTCTTAGCAGAGTATTCCATCTTAAGTGTTTCACTTGATAGTAGTAAGATTTTCAAATTTTAAGTCCTCAGTGAAGTTCCTTTAAGAATTAAGTAACACCAACACTGTCAAGGTCATTTGGTGGCTTAAGCTGCATATTTTCAGGCAAGAACAGGCATCTGAGTAGAACCGTAAGCAGGCTGAATAGCTTCCTCACAGTCATGTATGATACCAAAGTCCTTGATGGGACTCGAACCAACAGTGGTTTTAAGTTGGCAACCTTAACCATTCCACCAAAATAAGGCACAGATAAATCATCAGCAAAATAACCAAACACTTGTTTTGCGTGATATATGGTCGTTAAATTAATTAAACACAGGAATAAAATAACACTTATGTTGATTTCATATTATTTAGATATCAGCATAAATTCCGATATGTAAATACGAAATGGGTGGAATAAAAATTATATTTATTTACATGCAGATTTATGATTCAAGTTTCCACTTTCTTCTAATCATAAATTTCCTCTAATTTTTCGACCAAAATGATTTATACTATATGATTTTAAGACACATAAGTTTGGCTTGGGAGTCATTCACTTCTTCTTTGGACTCAATTTTTTTATTTTATCGTAATAATGGACTTACAGCTTTAACTAAATTGGATTTTGTACTCAAAATATTGCTTGGGTTTAACGTTTTAACTTTGTACTCATTTCTTTCACTTTGGAACCGCCTCCATGGTCGAGAGGTTAGAGTCGATGACTTCTAATCCAGTTGCCTCTCTGGCGTGGGTTTGATCCCCGGGAGATGCTTTGGTAGTTTAGCACGGAGGAAGGTAGTCTAGTACTGGTGTAACTCTCCAGGAACGATGGTTAGGAAACTACCTGCCTATATGACTGAAATACTGTTGGGAAAAGGCGTAAAATGAAACAAACAAACAAACAAAACTTTCACTTTGGACTCATAACAAAACTTTATAGATTTGTAAATTTCTAGCGCCAGTTCATATGAGGAAACATGGTCCAACAGAATATTAATTGGGCTCAAACCCATGATCCCTGGGTTGAGAGGCACGCACCTTAACCACAAAGCCACCTTATACCACCTTATAAAACCACAATAACTGTCAAATGAGAGAGTTATACCTTGATAATTATATAGAAATCAGCCATCTTTGATGTGTGAACTAGAAAATCTAGTCACTTTGATTTCGAAACAAAATTATCATTA